TATATATATATACATATATACATATATTTACCTCGAAACCCTCGCATGCGACCTAATTGCACCTAACGTTAGTTCCGTAAGTAAACGTAAGCGATAGATGTATGACACCTAATAAACGAGAATGTTTTCTGCACTGTGGTCTTAATCTCCATTTTTTTAGTTTTCGTAAGAGACACGCACGACTCCTTATTTGCATCCTAAATTCAATATGGAATATTGTTAGTAGGTAACATAGGTACGTAGAAATAAATAACAAAAAGTATTGCTCGAAGATAAATACTGACAATTTTATTAATACGAATACTATGATACATGTGAACGTAGACACTTTTCGCCTGCCATTCATTATACAATTGTCAACTCGTTTAAAGAGCATACGAGACGACACAAGTCTTATGTGCAATTATTATTCATAATATGTACAAATCAGATTGTAAAAATAATCTGTACAGTAATGAGTCACGTATTTATGAACACGACATGTACTTAATGTTTTATAAACAAGACAAAGATGGTTATCTTTCATTGGCACGTGAATTAATGTGCCCTCAAGTTGTTTGGGATTTACATAATCTATTGTATATTCCTCCTCGGCCATATGATTCGTATTAAATTGAATTATTACATCTAGAGCTCCTGTATCGGATGTATTCGCATCATCCAAATCTTTCTCCTGATCAGAATTTTCCAAAGAATTGTCTAACGGATCGGAAAGATAATCCCCGATATCAGATACGTCAGAATCATCCGTGTCCAGAGATCTAGCTAACTTCTGTGGCGACGAACTGTCCAGTTTGGACAAGGAGGATTGTCGCGATAACTTCTTCTTTGAATTTGAATTCGAAGATTTCTCTTTAAGTATTTTCTTCAATATTTCATCTTCATCGATATCATTATCTCCCTTCATACTCTCCGGAGTATTAGATTCTGATTGTATGCTTTTATTTTCGTAATTTGCCGAACTTTTCTCTTGATCTTCTCTACTTTTTTCCAATACTTCCAATGATGAGACTTCTGGTATTTCTTCGGTTTGACTAAGGCGTCCATAATTACTGGATCTTCTTTCATTTATATCGGCTAATAAGGTGTAGCAACCACTGGACCATCTTTGAAGTTCTATAGCCATCTTGGGATTCATAGTTTCCGTTTCTGATATCAAATCTAATTCCGTGTAATCTTTCAATAATTGAAATATCGTGACAGATTTAAACATGTTATAAAATTTCGACAATAATTCTGGCAAGCTCGTTTCATCTGCCACTTCGTAATTACGAATATCGGCTGGTCCAACTTTTCTCCAAACAATAGAATCGGACGTCAAATCTATGGAAAGTTTTTCATATATGTCATCTTTGAAATAATTAGATAAAAGTGTAAACGAGTCCCGTTCTATCTCTTTCTGGACCTCTTTAACGATACTAGGATATATGTAACACTCCGTTACCCAATCCCGCAAATTTATTCGATCGTTTAATGGCCCTATATAATTGGGTTCAATTTCAGGTCTTGGTGGCCTGGTATCTTCTCTAAGCGGTCCATGAAACCAACCATTAATGGACCAACGTGATTTATCCGATGCAATTACTTCAGCTACTTGATGATAAGAATTATCCGTAACTTCAAAAAATACAAGGGAATTGTACTCTGGTATCAAAGATTTTACAACATTTCTAGGTAGTCCATTTTCATCAGTGTCAAATAAATCTAAAGCACCTCCATCACTTGCAGACCAATTTTTTGAAAGATATAATACAAAAGCAATTCTACGATCACCCATATTGTCATCATGACAAAGTAAATAATCTGTATCATAGTAACAAGAACTTGACATTGATACCTTTTTATTAAGTTCTACCTTAGTGATTCGTTCCATCCATACTGTTAAATCTGTTTGAAAAGTCTGATAAAGTAACCTTAAATATTCTGAATCAATATTAACAAAGTCACTAGTTTGTTCAAATTGATAAAGATCTAAACAATTTCTTCTACATTTAACATCCAATAATTCATTTTTTATTTCATCCATAACGTCTTCGCTATAAAGAAAGTTTGAAATTCTGCATACTTTGAAAGGTTTTGATATAATTTCAAGGTTGTCTACCTTTACATCTTTACAATTATGCCAATGTTCAGTAAATAATTGTTGAAAATTATCCGTATAGATAAAATCAGAAATGACAGATGGTTTCAATTTTTTTGATTGCGGTTCTTCTTCAGCCATTACTCCGGATTTCTTTTCAAACAATCAATAAGAGTTCTTACTTATGTATTCTTATTCTATCAGTCTTTTTACTTCTATCTTTGCATCAACAGTACATGTCCCTGATATTTTTATTACTTACAAATATTTTTATAAATTTGTAAACTATATCACATTTTTTTACCTAATAGACAGATATGTATGTATCACATATTTCAATTACATGCATATATCGTCCATTAAAATTCAACCTTTAGTGAAAAATATAAATTCTGTTGTCATTCGTATGTTTATCTTTTTCAAAATATCATTCTACAAGGTTATCGTGTTTGAATTCAGTTATCAACTGCCAGTAGTTGTTCTAATTGAGTTTTTATTCAGAAAATTAATGTTTCATTCTTTGCAAAAGTATAGTGCTGATAACAGAAATATCGCAGCTTGTCTAAATACACTCACCGGACGATGCGGCACTTGCTTTTCGATACATACGGCCCACGTGGTTGTTCAACCCGCACGTGTTCTGAAAACAATCGGTTGAAAAGTCGGTTAATAAAATTCCGCTTGTCCCATGATTATATTAATGTTGAAACGATTGATCGTTAAACAAGTTAAATTTCTTTTTCGACAACTACGTACCAGAAATTGCACGTGTATCCAAATTTAGCAAATTAGATCCGTCGTTCCGTGTCACCACGCAGTTGCATTCTGCCCAGGGACTACTAGTACCACTGGCGAAAACGTTGATTCGATCGAAACCAGGGACGTCGCGAATTATTTGTAAACCCTGACCATATGCAGGCCTCTTATATACAATTCGTACTTAACCTTATTTCGTTTCATTTGACGTCATAAAGTACGATTCAATACCGCGATTGTTTAAAATCTTTATACGAAGTGAACTTTTTTTAATATGAATTTATTAATGAAATGATTCTATACTTATGATAAGGATTGATAAAAGACTTTAAAAACTTAATTAATTTTGAAATTTATAATAATATATTTAAAAAAAATAAAGAAAAATATGAAAACGTTAATATCGTAACTTTTTTTTTATTCTTATAAATTCTACAATTATTATTTTTCATGATACGTAATAGATTTACATATTTACTTATAATTTTCACGTTTTTTAATAAATGATATAAATTTTTACAATTTATATCTTATGAGCAATTATTCTATGTTTAACAATAAATATCGATATTATTAAAATATCTAATAAATATTGAAAATTTTAATCAAATTTTAAATTTGTTAAGATTTAATATAGATTTTTCATATTTTCAATTCAAAAACATAATATAAATTAACGATTTTGTAATTAAAACAATTTTTTAAAGAGTGCAAAATTTTGCGTAAGAAATTAGAACAGTTTGAATCATCCGCGCAATTTTATCATAGTTCAGCAATTTGTCAACCTGTGTCGCTATAAGCGATCATATCAAGATGGCGACAGTAGTTCACATTTGACGGATGCCGTTGGTCGCATGGAAATTCGGGGCACACCCTGACCGTTAAATTGTACAAAGTGTGATATCATCAGATTTGATGTTCGATTATTGTGAAATCTTTGTGTAAAGAACTTGCTGGTAATCCTGGAACGCAATAACAGGACGGCTTACGCATACGTGAGTAACGATACACGAGCGAAACTCGCATACATACATCGTGACAAGTCTCATCCTTTCCGTTTTTTATCCCTCGAGATCTGTCAACACATTGGCCTTTTTTCCTGAAAATGTACGTTGCCTGCTTGTCGTTTGCCGATAGGTTCGATAACAAAAGGGTGGGGTTTTGCGGTTGAAATTAACGATGTAAACAGGCGGTTAGAATACTCGGGATCTCTTAGTCACCTTTTGTTTGTGTCGGAATCACGTTGTGCCGGGACAAGTTTAGTGAAACGATATTTTATTGAAGTGATATTTAATGTGATTCTTATAATTTCGTCTCGAGTAATTCGTTTTAGTCTAGTGTCTTCATTATCGAAAACTTATTTTCTATTCAAGTCTTCACGATTCGTTTATTCTTCTATCTGCTATCTTGGCCTTGAAACCGGACTCTTAGTGCCCTACTGTAACGATTCCGATGTGAAGGAGCTTTCGAATTTTAAAATTCACGATCGTGTGTGGAGAACAAAGGTGAGTCAACTGGTATTTTTATATTATACATCAGCCTCGCGATATTACAATCTTTTTCTTTTTATACATCTGTCGAGATTCTATCTGTAAGTGAGTATCGATTGCTATAGGAAACTACGTTTCATTAACGTTCATAATATGTTTTTCTGTGATCATTTGCTGTGTTTCTGTATCCAATAGCGATCAAAAAAAATCTCAGGCTGTTATATTTATATGAAGATGAGAAAAACTATAGGTGTATAATGCGTACGTGACAATCGCTTTATATTTTGTACCGTAATGATCATTTAGATAAGACGGAATCATGGAAGTTTCGAGTGACTTGTTCGCGATGAGGTAGGTCATTCGCCTTTTTTTCTCCTTCGATGGAATACCTTCGACAAGATGCCAAGTGGCTCGTTTAACGATTACGCCACTCGAACCACTAAGCTTGTCGGTCGCAACATTAAGTGTACTGTTAAACTTAAAGTACGTCCATTAATGTTGCCGTGTAAATTTTTCTTATACATAATAGTTTTTCTGTTTAACACCTTAGTTTAATTAAAATTTTTATAATTTAAAATTCTTTTCTATTTCAGAACGTTTCTTTAAAAAAATGTATACGTACAATCACAATTTTCGTCATCTACTTATTTCTAGGGAATAAACATTCTTCGAATTTCTTTTCTGTCAGGTGACGTTGAAAATGTCAAGACACCTGGTATACGGGCGAACCGTTACTCGTTTCATCGATGTAAAAAAATATAATCTATCCTTCTCTGCGAAGGAGGATTTTTTCACAGAGTTTTGCAATTTTTACATTTAGCATACAGCGATACATTCGAACCTCATTGATATTTTTCTTCTAAATAGGGTGATCCGAGTCGAAACAGATTATAACATTGCGTGACTGGCGTAATTATCCTCACGTTGAACCTGCTGCCGTGTAGCTCCACCGTCGTATATGGCATTAAATTCCAGTTATCGACCTCGTAAGATCGTTTTTTATTTTCATGGAATCAAATTAATTCGATTCGTTCAACTTGTTTTTTCACCAAAGCAAGAATTTTATTGAAATTCGAGTAATCGTAATTATTTTTATCTTTGCTAAGAATGCAAATAGCACATCTTTTTATCTTTCATCTTTTTTTAATGAGACAATTTAAAAATTACGATTTACGAATTAAGAGTATAATTCTCAATTTATCCTTTCGGCTACGATTGTGTAATTAAGTAGTTAAGGAAAACTTACGTGGAATGTGTATATGTGGAAAATCAAAAAAGATTTATGGCAAACGATAATAATATGAAACGGCAATAATAATTTCGTAAGCACGTGGAACGGCGACACGCTCGACTACGCGGTTGGCTGCAAAATATACTGAACGCGTTTCCTCTTTTCTATAGCTCGGAGAATATCACGTAGCGGCACTCGAATCGCTTATGGCATTGTTCGTCAGTAGAGTGCGACGAGATCGAAGGCAATGCGGCGTCGTCGTCGTCAAAAGAAATGGTTCTGGCCAGTCCAAACTCATCGTGGTTATCGATTCTACACTAACCCCTCTTGTCTTTACTTCCTCTAGAATATTTCAAGTACTTTTGTTCGTACTTCACGAGGATATTCCCCATTGTTGCGTAGACCAGGTGTGAGAGAAAAATTTCACTGCAAAAAAAAAAAAAATGGAGTGTCGTCATTCTCGTCGTCCAGGTATCAACAGTGCATTTATTCGAGCAACGATGTAAGTTTCAACAAAACTAGTTTTTCTTCGATCTACATTTTTTTTTTTTTTTTATTCGATATACTCGTAAGAGTTGTTATTATAGAATAGGTAAAATAATGAAAAAAATATTTCAGAGTATTTCTTGTTCGGTAATTGCGAACGATGAAATCATTCGAAACGATCCTCGACTATAACGAACGTGCGATTAGAATAGATTCAAGCCGGTTGGAGTTGAACGGTGAAACAACGATGTGTTATTTTATGCAAATTGCGTCGTAATGCAACTGGCTTTCGTTTCCGTGCTATCAATTTGGATCGACGAGAGAGCAGAAGAATGCTCTCGGAGCAAGAAAGCGCTCTTATCGGTTCAAGATGAGCCGAATCGACCGCGTGCGAGCTGGTATCGACGATACGAACGCAATAAAAGGCACTTGGCCACTGCTGCATCGGGCAGCTGCTGCATTCTCGGTTCACGCGTTCCATCCACAACCAGCTGATTGCAATTCCTTTTCTGCATTCACACTTTACATCAGAATAATATCGAACTTTATATATATAGTTTAAAGGTATATGCAAAATTTTCTTCCTATTCTAAACCGGTGCACATGCACGTGCCATTGCACTCATTGTACCGCTCTTCATGAAATATTAATTCATTCCAGGTTCGATTTCCTTTAATTCCCTCAACGGTAATTCGAAAGTTCGTAGTATCGTGAAACAGTGGCAGAATGCAGTTCTCCGAGTGATACAGGAAGTTCCTATAGTTTCCGTGGGAACATTGTTTCGCCATTACTCTCTCTCTCTTTCTCTCTCTCGTGCAGATTAAAAAGTGGAATCGCGTGACGTTAAGCAGCGGCGACCTATTTTTCTGTGAGAAAAATCTTTAGCGTTTCATTTTTTTCCCCTCTTTCCTCATTTCTTTTTAACCTTTTATCTAAACATTCGAGGATTATTTTTTGTTTTTTCTTTTTTTTTTTTTTTTTTTTTTTTTTTTTTTTTTTTTTTTTTTTTTTTTTTTCTTCTTTTTTCAACATCGTGTTTTCAGCTAGAATTCATAATTACAATGGACTTGTATAAGTTCACGTTGTACAGAAATTGTGCTCCTCCAGAACCCTTGTTCCATGTTGCGCTGTTCGTTTTGCGTGGTACATACCGGTTCTGGACGATCAATAAAAAGGATAGAGAACCACAGATAGTTCGCACTCGGCCATTTCTTCTTGCGAGCAGACAAAAAAAGACTTTGCCCGTAGACTTTGTCCCAGAAATTTCTCGAATGTGCATAGTTCCAGTCGTTCATCGCTCGTCCCTCGTTTCCCCACCTCGAAGGTAGGAATCACGCGATATTTGCTGAAAGGTGTAATTTAATTGGATAGAAGGTATCATTAACAGTCAATCAGTTAGACAATTATCGATGATACGTGTACTCCTTTTACGGGATAATGATTCAATTAAAAGTGCATCATACGTTGGTAACCGTGGTAACGCGTTGTTTCCCCTCATCGATTCGTCGACCACTGGAAAAAACAGGCGAGCTTAATAAACGAGCAACCTTACATTTCGTTTGTTCGATATTTCGAACAATTTTAACAGGTTTATCGGATGTGGCGAATAGGGTTTTATTACTAGGCGAGGTAGGTTAACGCTCAATGATAGGATAACGGCGATACGATTAAATGAATGAGATCGCGGGATAACCCCGTTCACGTTTTATCTTTTATCTTCCGTCAGGTTATTGGCCTGCGAACCAAGGGAGGAGAGCAACCCCCCTTACGAAGAGGTGTTACGATTTTATTAAACTGATCGCTATCTGGATTCGAAACACGGCAAAATTTCTTTCCAAAAATAATCACTTGTCACAAGTTGACAGCATTGTTACTCCTTGTAGCAATTATATTATACTCGATACTTGAACTCGATATATAAATCACGCGATTAAGGACGCTACAAAAGAATCTGTGTGGAATAGATGGGAAAATTCACTTCGAACGAAGTCTCGTTGGTTTTA